AAATGGTCATCCAGTGCCAGCCGCGAATCCAGGAGGACTCCCAAGTTGCGCGCCCTCTCCGAGGGGGCCAAAGTTTCGCCCCCTATAGTCAGCGATGGTGTCAGCTGACTATGCCGAGGCGCTGGCAACCACAGCCACTCGGTCTTGGAAGGGTTGAGCCTGAGTCTGTTCCTCCCCATCCAGACCCGTACGGCCCGTATTATTCCTATGCAAAACTCTTTAATATCTGCCTGCTTTGCAACCACTGTGCAAAGCTCCATCAGTCATGTAGCCAGGAGGGAAGGGCAAGAAAAGCTGAAATACTAAGTGATGTCAACCTTACCAAGTAGACCAGACAGGAAACACAAGCAAAGTAGCTAATTCTACTTTATTGTAAGGCTACCTTAACAGAATCTTGCAACTATGAAAGTACAATTCTCCCTCTGCTGCCTTTACAGTTAGGGAAAGGGCCCCTCTGAACCTCTTGATCTTCCCCTTATGCAGCTGAAGACTATGTTCTCTCTTATCCAATCATTCCCTAGGAAGCATTCCTTCACCCTGTTCCAAAGTCATTTCCACATGCCACTGCAAGTGAGCAGCAAAGAAAGCTCTGAATTCAGTTGCTTAAAATATGTTTTATCTAAATTTTCCCATCTGATATCTATAAAATTATTCTGGCTGCATGTGCAAGATAGGATTTGAATTGCGATTTTGGGATCAATTGTCTTACAAGATAAACAATGCAAATCATGGCTGCTTTTGACAGTTGCCACAGGCTGATGTGATCATGTTCATAAATTACAGCCCATTTTGGGTAGAAGAAATGTTAACTCTTTAATTTAGTCTGTCACACAAAGTTATTCAGATGAAAGACTTTTTTAAAATGAAAGAAAATTAAAGTCTCTGGCCATATCCAGAATTTATCTTATTCCTAAAGTAATACTAACACTTAAATACGTGGAAAACAGATAAGAGAGCTAAAAAAAAAAGATAAAAGATCCACATTTTCTCCTATATCTTGGTTGCAATTCTATAAATATATTTGTGTAGGAGATGACCAGGCTGAGCCTGAGGGAGGGGTCAAATGCATCATCAGTCTCAAGTCCCTTTGCGCCCACAAGAGATCTAAGTCCAGCCCACCTTGAATTCCTTTGACTCTTATCTGCTGCCAATTTGCTTTGACTATTAGTAGTTCAGATTCTTGTAGAGAACTTTAGCATACAATAAACCTATAGAGAGCTGTGGTGGCACAGTGGTTAGAGTGCAGTATTGCAGGCTAATTCTGCTGACTGCCACCAGTTCGATTCTCCCAGGCTCAAGGTTGATTCAGCCTTCCATCCTTCTGAGTTCAGTAAAATGAGAACCAGATTGTTGCTAACTCTGTAAATAGCTTAGAGAGGGCTGTAAAGCACTGTGAACCAGTATATATGTCTGCATGTTATTGCTATATTAATTTGAACTGCCTAATTTCCTATGCTTGACAATTTGTGTAAGTATAAGCCTTACTAAATTCATTTATGTTCAGATATACAATTGTGCTGTTCTTCACTTACCTTATTTCTATAGTCTGGTCTTGAACAACTGCTAGCAGTTTTCCATTGCTACAAAAAGAAAAACTCTGAATGAAAATCACAGGCGATTACTGCTTCCAAGACGTCTCAGGAATCATTTGATAGAGTCAAGTCAAGGCAATACAAGGCAAAGGTGAGGTAGTCTCAATATTTTACAGAATCCTGAATCCTTTCTCTCTGTTTTTGAGTAAATAAAGTATCTCTGATATTATTAAAATATATATTCAAAGGTTAAATTGTAGATGTGCCACTAAATGGTGATGAACATGGTGTTTCAAGAAGTACTAGGAGCATGAAACTACCCTGAGAATATACAGTATCTCTCTTTGTAGGATGTAGGAAATATATAACCTGGGTTGGTTATGAATTTAATCAAGAGTTCAACAATGAAATCAGTAGGACTCAAGCTGGCCATTGTTAACTCAAGTGTAAGTCTGATTAAATCTGGATCTAATCTATCTTTGCATTACATATAATAAAAAAATGAGAGTACAGGTAAGATGAGAAATCCTATGGCTGTCATAAAACACAAAATTCATTTCTACTGCTGAAATACATTCATTTCAAACATTTTTCTCCCAAGTCAGAAACTGCAAAAAAATATAAGCAGCCAACAGCAGGATTTGTGGAGCAGAAACCGGGGGCTAAAACTAGGACTTAAAAAGAACTCTCTACATAAAAAAACAAAAACCAGGATTCTT